TTAAATAAAGTAATTTTAATATAGTTTTTTTTTACAGCTGGCCCAAAACCGCCACAGGGAGGTGATAAAAGCTTTAAAAGAGTCCTTAAGGCTGATGAGTTTGTCTTATGTCGATTTGTACTTGATCCACAATCCTGTTGCTTTTACGGTATGTACTTGAATATTAATATAAAATTATTTACAATAAATACATATACGTGCCGTGGCGGCGGTATTATCTGCTAACACAGGTTAAATCCTTTTGTAGGGTCTGGATATTGCCTGACTGGTCGGCAATCAATCAATAACTAATAATTACTAATAATAATAATAAAATTTATTTATTTCCACAAATTACAAATAGATACAATAATACACATAACGGTTTCAGAAAAAAACAATTACAATGAAAGTGGAACAGGAAGTAGCAAGTAACGACACTGACTCTTGAACTAGGTAAAAACTTGTATCTCAAGAGACAGAGATTCAAATGGATGAGTTCCTTATCATTATTTTAAAAATTTGTGTGTGTGTGTGTGTGTGTGTGTGTGTGTGTGTGTGTGTGTGTGTGCGTGCATGAGTGAGTGGGTGCGTGCATGTTTGTGTGAGGGGGTGCGTTGTGGTTGTGGGCTGATGGGTTTGAAAAAACCTTCTGGACTTTGCATCGGCAATACGCTGGACAGTAGCCGTAACGTAATGACAAGTGCCAATGACTTAGGGCGTAACAAAACTTTCTGTTTTTGAGTAGTTTAGTCTTCTGAGCCAATTTGTGACAGATTTCTTAGCCTCAAATTTACTTTTATCGGCAATATTTAATTCATTATTTATTTTGTTAAAAAGAAACCGACCTAGGAAGAAGAAGAATCTGTGGCCAAATGACTTACTATATATTACTGTATTATTTATGTAGTATTTGTAATGGTTATCAATAAAAAAAGTTATTATTTATAATTATTTAAGTTATATACTTATATTTCTCACAAGTTACCTCTCTAACATAACTGAGAATCACCATTTATGTTAAGCTTTATTTTTATTTTCGATCCTAGCCAGACGAAAGCGCTTATGACTTAATCGACTACTTGGACACTTGGAAAGGCATGGAAGAAGCAAAACGTCTGGGTCTAGCAAAATCAATAGGAATATCCAACTTCAATATCACTATGATTGAACGGCTGCTGGCGAACTGCGATATTCGACCTTCCGTCTTGCAGGTTGAGGTAAGTTTTGTCTTGATCATAGTTTCCCAAAGTGATCCCTACCGACCCCTAGTCGGCGCTGAAGAGTCCTATAGTAGGGGCCTCGGAAACAACTGTCCAGGGGGTGCTACCGCAATTGAAAAAAATCCTGTTTTATCTATATGTATATACTACACTGACTACATCTCTCATCTCTCTATATCTCCCTAATGGAAGAATGGCATAAGTAAAAATGTTTATTGCACCATTGGATACAGAAAAATATAACCCACTTCCTCTCCAATTCTTGTAACTCAATCGACAATATAGATGTTTGCCATCCGAGACATCAATTCTTACATTCACCTAAACCCATTGATACAGTCCGCTAGATGTTTTGGTTAGTCGAAATTATCTTCTCTAATTATCGAAATAATCGGCGTTATTTTTTATTATCATGCGCGGGCAAAAGTTTGGGAACTTATGGTCTCGACCGTTAACAAAGTAGGGTGACCATTGTATTGATGAAAATAGACAATTAATTTCAAAGCAAACTTTTCGTCGAGCCACCGCTTGCGGAAGCTCGATTAAAGACCACGAATTGGTTCGAAACATTATGAGCAAAAATTGAAAAAAAATGACTCAAATATACCAACGTGAATTATCCGTTACTTTAGTTTAATCTGACGGTAGTTTTCTATTTAAAAACTACATGAAATCTTAATTATAGATGTAGTTTTTCTTACCAGGTAAACCTAAACCTAGCCCAAAAGAGACTAGTGGACTTCTGCAAAGAGCAAAACATCGTAGTCATGGCCTACTCGCCCTTTGGTTCATTGACATCTTCGGAAGGTCCTCCACCGAAAGCTGATGACCCTGTGTTACTGGGTATCGCTCAGAAGTACAAGAAGACCCCTCATCAGATTGTACTTCGATATTTGGTAAAGTTTTTGTTTCACTATAGTTTTAAACCTCGTAAAAGGCAAAATTTCAATATCAGCCGGAATCTTATTACAGGAGCTTTGCCCCTGTGAAGACGACTGTCAAAAATAGCCAGTTTATTTTTATTCCTCATATTACTGTTGTCTGTCACTATTTTTAATTACAAAATAATACTATTCTCTTTAACGTAAATAAATGGACGGTGTTGTAAAAAACTCGAGTCTGAGAGTCTACATTTTAGGACTCGACTCCAATTCACAAGACTCGACTCATAAAAACAGAGACTCCACTGCTTGATGTATTACGAGCCTATCGAGTTTCCAAATAGACTCGAGTGTGACATTAGTGCTCGAGTCTATTTTTATGTAGAGGCGAGCTCGAGTCTGGCGAGTGCTTGCTGAGTGGTGTTGTGATATGTGTGTTAACACGGAAGAAAAAACCAATGGATGTGCCTTAAGCCTCGTTTACTATTAGAACCCATGTCGCGAAAACTCACACAGTCTTAATTTGAAACATATTTGAAACACTACAAAATCTTGATCTTAGAATAATAGCGCATAGAATGATAGTTTCATATCAAACGAACTGTCACAAGTGAGGCAAAAATCCAATTCATGTAGGCTAGTTTTAGTAGTAGGTTAAATTTCGGTTTTAGTGAATATTTATATAAAAATACAAGTTGAAACGCGTTACTTCCTTGTGGAATGTGATGTTAGTATCTATTTTATGTTTGTCTGGCGTATTTTTACACTCATTTACCGCACATTTCGTCATTTTTAGCTAAAATTCTGGAGCTGTTCGCGGTGCAAGTTGACCTTGAGCACTGAAGGCCCGCCCGCTCGTGTAGGCCCTTTTAGCGCGCTTCAATTTGCCTCACTTAGCGTGTGCGGGCTAGGTTTCTATGCGTTATTATTCTAAGATCTGGATATTGATTGGTCGTAGTTTCAAATTTGAAAAAGAAATGACAAATTCTGTATTGTTAATATAATCTAAACTTTGGCTAGTTGGCATATCGTTGTAAGTTCCATACCATCAATAACTATTACTGCAAGTTTTTCGTTTTGGTATTATATTAAAAACTCAATAAATGTGCTGCCATCTAGCGGTTTTTTGCTAAACGACGACGAATATGAGTTATTAATTTAGTTCTTCAAAAAAGAAGCGACCATATTGCAGAGGTATACGCTTTACTTTCGTTTCTTGTAACAAAAAAATTATTTCGATAAACAGTAAATTTAAAATTTATTAAAATAAGGCGGCCACGGGTAATGTTTTTAGTGTGGCTATCGTTTTTTCACTCCAAAACAACACAATAAGGCATTCTTTTAGGATTTTAGAGAATTTGAACGAAAGAATGACCCAACCATACCATACAAAGCGAAAATGGCTGCCTGAGCTCACATAGGTCTTTAGAAACCTATAAGTTGGCACGCGTCTGACGCTAATAAACCACTTCTATCTGGTGTGTTAAACTGTGATATAAGTAAGTAACATCTTTTTTTTTAAATCACCATATTGGGGTTTATTTTTTATTTTATTGGCAGGTAATAGTTGTTGTTCATTAAAATTTATATAATCGGACTTCGTAGAATAGAAGTCTCTTTGAGTCGAGTTTTGGAACTCGAGTTTACGATTTGAGTTCTTTTTAGACTCGAGTGCGTGCTTCGAAGACTCGCGCTCGACTTGACTCGGACTTGTATTTTAGCCACCGAGGCATGCTAACTTGAATCGAGTTTATAAAATGTAGACTTCCGGACTCGAGGTTTTTTCAACACTATCCCATGATCGCAAACTCACAGACGGGAATAGAGCCCCTTAACTTACGGATAGACGTTGGCTCTCTGTGTGTGTTCTACCGTCTTTACAATGGGGAGTGCTCTGAAGAACTTTTCGAACTGGTGCCACCGTCTCGTTTCTACCATCGCAACTCCCGCCAAAGGAGTAGAGTCCATCTCCACATCTTAGATACCTGGCATTGTAAGACCACGCGGGCATCTCTTTCGTTTCTTCCTCAAACCTGAAAGATGTGGAATGATCTTCCTCCTTAAGTATTTCCTTTGCGTTATGACATGGAGTTCTTCAAAAAGCATGTTTACAGGCTCTCAAAGGCTGACAACGCATAGGCAGCTCATTTGATGTTGCAAGTGTCCATGGGCGACGATGACCACCTCCCATCAAGTGGCTCGTCTGCTCGTTTGCCTCCTTCTTTACTAAAAAAAATATATTCCTTACTTTATAAAGAACGTTTATTGCGCTATTTTCAGGTGCAACGAGGTTTAGTACCGATACCAAAGTCGTTTAACAAAGCCAGAATTGAAGAAAACATCAACATTTTTGATTTTGAATTGACGCCTGAAGAAATGGACACTTTGAGTAAGTTCTTAGGACACTATTTTCAATTTAAAAATCCCTTTTCGTCCAACGAATTAATATTAGATTTCTCCATCTCATATTTTTTATTGGTTATAAACAAAACCTTACAATTAATTACATTGTAGCCTTACACGGGCTTATGTGTAAAATTCTAACAACATCGCACGACTATTGTGTACCTACTATTATCATAAACAACAAACTTTTTGACTCGCCGGGGTTTGTGGTTAGCTTTAGGGACGGACACGTTCGTCTGCCCTGGTATGGTGTGTGGCTGGGGCGTTCGTCCCGCGCGCAGTTAGAGCGTCTTAGTAGCGGTCTAGTATAGGTCTAGGCCTGAAGCGAGGAGAGACGCGCGGGGCACGTGAGTTGCCGTTTAAGTCGGTAGCTATGTCCAGATATTGTCGCAGGACACTATTACTTGGCATCTCCGGCACTAACCCGGAGAGCTAGTAGAGAATGAGCTAGACGTCTTCTGGTCCTTCCGGCCGCGTAGGAATTTGGGAACTGGAGAGACGCCGTTCATTCGGCGTCGGGAGGTGAGCGTGCCTTACAGCTCCGTCACCAATGAGGAGATTTGGTAGTCGACTTAGAGTCGGGGCGGCTCAGCGGTGGCAACCGTTAGTCGTGCGGAACGCGACGTGAAGTGAGCGTGCCTACAGCTCCGGTACCTATCTGACGCGGCTCACCTAAGCGGCCTTACAGTGAACCGGGTGAAGTCCGTGCAAACGTGCTGATTTTTGGTTAGGACCTGATTTAGATGGTCCCTGTGCGGTTTCGCTCGCACAGGTCCTAGTGACCTTCTCGTATACCCTAAGGGTCGGTAGAGAGGGTCACTATAATCGAAACTAATGTAGAAAGATATGGGGTTGGCCATCTCTGCACAGATGGCATCCAGCACGCTGACATCTATCCCATATAAAACACACGTTCAGTATGGACACGATATCCATACGAGTAGTTAAAAACGGTCAAACCATGAATCGACATGTTGTTTATAATATTAGTACTTAATATGGACCTGTAAGGTTGTTAGTATTTAATAAATAAATAACGCACACACTCAACATAGCCCCGCACTAGGGAAACCCTGTGTCGCGGGTGCCATGGACATACACATAGACAACCACAAATTACACCCAAACTCACGAGAGAAATAAATGTAAGCCATACAAACATTTCTCCCGGCCCGAGAATCGAACCTGGGACCTCTGCGTGGCAATCCGGCATGGTAACCGTTCGGCCACCGAGGCAGTATACAACAGTAAAATGCCTATACTCTGTCTTTTCGCAACATCCTTTTCGCTCTTATTCCGTTGACGCAAACCTCTTTCGATCGACTCCAGTGTGTTAGTGTGGTGATACCATTATTGACGAATCATTCTTTTTCTTCAGGTAAATTCAACAAAGATTACCGCGTAGTGTATCCAAGCTTCTGGCAAGATCACCCTTACTACCCTTTTGAGAAGAAAGACGTCCCTGATCCTGATATTTTTATGAGAAATATTACTTTCTCGGCCTAACTTCGAGTACTGCGTAAACTGCAATTCTAAATAATGAATTTGATGCGCTTTATATTATGGATAAGAATTTTATCTACACACATATCATAAACCCTCTATGATGAATTAAAAAAATCGCAAATTACGACCAGCATGAAGATATACTGTTTTGTTGAAACAAATTTCTTATCTGTGAAAATGTTATTATTGCTTCTTAATAGCATCAAATTCGATTTTAATTATTACATTAAAATTTCGAACATCTCTGAAAAACAAAACAATTTGATTGGACCTCAATTCTAATATCAATCGAGATGAAGTTTTATTTGAATTGAAATGTCAATAGCAAAACACGTTACTTGATATCGAACGATATGATAGTTGGGGCCGACTCTAGTTTGTCTATAAACTAAAAACTACGGTTGTGTGACATGCGTGAGAAAAGTTTTTATTTAATGTATGTAGATAAAACGGTGTATGTAACTGTACACAATTAGGCGTTGAAACACTCGTGTGATGTTTTTATGGAACACGCCTGTCGGCTCGTTTCACCTTCACTCGTATTTTGACGCCTTCCATTATGTAACAGCTTAGAGGATGGAAAAAAATAAAAGAAAGGAGCTGCCCTAAGTACAGAATCAACGTGCATATTACCAAAATTTGAAACTTACAAATGGCGGATTTCTTTAGTGTTGTACCATAATCTATCGATAAGTCATTATCGACATGCAAATGTATGGCTTGAATTTTTGTTTCTTTAGTTTACTGTAACCAAAGTATGCCTAAACAAACACAAGTCTGATAATTTAATCTCGAGTGGTATATTATTATAAATGTCAACACACATTTTTAAACTTCAAAAAAAATTTATTTTCAACATTACAACTGATAACTTATTTAGTAAAAGTCACCAAACTGCTGTGCAGTTTGTTGGCGACATGCGCATTCTTGCTTAATTATACCTACTTTACTTGTATTTAACATTACGTAGTATTAATTGTACTTACTAAATAAAATATAAAAATTACTTTAAGAGGTACGCCTTTAACCTACATTTTAGTACATATTTACATAACGTAAACCAATAAACCTAAATAAATAAACCTAATACCAATAAACCTAATGATGGAATAGCATTGTTCTGTTAAAATTTGACTCTTCAAAATGAAGCGAACAAATGAAGATGGTCTTTGATCCAACGTTTATATTCGGCAGTCCTATGATTTCCAACCATTCTTTCTTCATTTTTTCATTTGTAGGAAAACTTGAAATAATAATAATAAAACAATAAAAACCTCATAGTGAATTGTTTTAATAACAGAATATCGATAATATGTATGCTTACAAGATCAACACTATCTCAAAATAATCGTTAACAACAATCATCAAAATATACAAACAAACAGGCAATCTAAAGTAACAAAAGCAAAATTTGGCAAGATTTATAAATAAACTACTTAAATAAGTCTAATTACATAAAACATTCAGGCTATTGTGTGATTTATAGACAAAAAAATAACACATGCCTGTGCAATGTAACATTCGATTGATTTGCAGTTTTTCTAAAGCCTTTAATGCTGCAGCGTCGCATTTTTATTAATACCTAATTATTCTCACTGTCAATATTTTTGTCCAATTTAATTATAATACATGTGAATAATTCAATAATACATTTGGAAAAACATTTGTTTTGACATTTGATGTACTTCCCTTTGACAACGGTATCATGTACCTCATGTACTTGATATGGCCACGGTTGGCATTTAAAATGACGTTACGAATTTTCGATTCCCGTGTTTGACACAGACCAATGTAATGCTATCTCTTTTGGCTTAAGACGGCACGTAATACTTAAACAAAGACAATAATATGTTTATGTTTTCGACGACGAAATGCATCATATACATATAACGTCTGATTTATATATGTCAACGTAACATGTCCTTTAGTTTCCACAGTCTAAGTGTAACAGTCACATATACTACTATAATTCAAATTTCACTCAGTCTGTTTTTGTTTTTTTTTATCCACAGGAATTGTGTGCGCTTCGTGAGTTGTTATTTCAATGGCTACGACTTTCATATTTGCGCAGTAAGCATCAATTTATATTGTCTACGGACTGTTAACAATAGATTCCCGTAAATCACGCTAATTTTATTGACACGACGTTTACTCGGATTTGGTTTGTCCACTAACTTTACCGCAATAGCAACTTCATAACGTATGCTAGTTACGCGTAATTGCTCTACAGTCTATACCCGACTATATATATTTTTAGTAGAGCCTTACCTACTTCTGCAGCCAAGCAGTAATGTAAGCGTTACTGCGTTCCTGTTTGAAAAGGTAAGGGGCTTGTCAACTTATGTGTCAAGGTGACGGTTACAGTGGCAATGCCCCTCAGATCTTAGCAATTTAAAGCTCTGAGTGGCACTGCAACTGGTATGGATACGCGTGTCGCTTACCACCAGGCGCACGACTTGTTCGTCCCGTCCTGGACCTCGGAGACCAGACAGTGTAGCTACATGAGACCGCGTCTCGTTGACTTGCTTAATCCAATAATTTATACTTAATGGGACAACCATAATTTTCCCGTGATAGTACTTAGAATGCAGTTATGGCTTTGCCTGATACGACTCAACAGCGGGACAATCTTTTTTCTCATAATTGCCTGGAAGCAGCCCGTGCAATCTTCCTCAAACATAACCGATGCACTACATCAGCTTAGCAGTCCCAACAGTCCCAAGTACGATGATAGGTAATCAATCAAATTCCTGTTTGTTACACTGGGGTAACAGTGCGGTGTGAACACGGGCTCTTAGCGGCAGCATGGTGGTAAGCGACACGCGGGTCCATAGCAGTTGCAGTACCACTCAGAGCTTTTAATCACAGCGATCTGAGGGGATCTGCCACTGTGCCCGTCACCCTGAGGCACAAGTTGACAAGTCCCATGTGCCTGTAATTTCACCAGCACCCTTACCCTTCAAAACCGGAACGCAGTAATGCTCGCTTTACTGCTTGGCGGTAGAAATAGGTAAGGTGGCAGTACTTCCCTGGACGAACTCTTTCACAAGGAGCTCTACTGCTACTAAAAAGCTTCTTCTTCTAGCGTATCAAATATGTATGTAGTATAGGTGAATAATTAGCATGTAAACATTTTGGTTGGTAAGTTTACATTGTATTAATTAAATTTTTATTGAATTGATATTCAATTATTTTTTGTGAAATTACTCCACTCGTTTGTTATAATTATTAATACAAAGATCGAGCACTCAGAAAAAACACTCAGAAAAAATTCCTTCGATCCGGTCGGATTCGAACCGACGTCTTCTTGCATACCGTGCCAGACGCTATACCAACTAAGCCACGGAACGAACCAACGGACCTCACTAATTTTTCTATGTGCTTGCGTCGTGTCTTTGTACTTTGTACTTCTTTCAACGACTTTTTAGTCGTAGCGCCATCTATGAGAAATCTATGACAGATTTATCACCCAGTTAGTACCTTTACAGCTACCAGTCCTGGCGAGAGATGTCGCTATTCACTGCATTAATTAAATTTTTATTGAATTGATATTCAATTATTTTTTGTATTTACATTGTATTTTTATGATATAAATAAGTAAGGGCGTAGCCTAATTTGTAATATAAATCGGTTAAAACTGTGTTTGTACTGTCCGAAATAAAGGATTATTATTATAGTTACTAATGACGTTGTAATTTACAATTGATTAAATAAAAATGTCATTAAAATTTTAAATTAAAGAGCGAACATTAATAATGCAATTTATTATCGACAATATAGGGGCAGAAACAACTAATACACTTTTTTTATTAAGTTTATTATTAAGTATAAAAAACACAGAACATGAATAAATTTGCCGTAATGTAATATTCAACAAAAATACAAATTTTATCAGCAAAACTGAATATAAAAATATATTTTTTAAGAATAATTTGTACGCAATTTTTCATTATTTTACCTCTCACGTTACTACTGTTAATGAAGAAAAAATGATTCGAATGGTATGGACAAATTATAATGTGCCAGATAATCACACCAATTACCTAATCTTAAACCTTCAAATTCATTGTACTGTATCAGAACAACGGAATTCACTCCTGCACACTACCAGACTCCCAGACGAATACCAATTTAAAACAGAAAACGGTAAGAATAGATCGAGAGGTTCCAGAAAAAACACAATAAGTGTCTAAGTTTTGTTGTATCTAACTCATTATGGGATTTGTAACCAAATGGTTTGCTTGTTAACACCCATAAATCTACTTATTGGACCCCACCATAACAATGAAAAGTACACTAACGAGTTAAAGTTAGTGATTCTCGAGATGTTAGTAGAATAACGACACAAATTTATAAAACGGACATGAAGGGAAACTTGGTTTATGCAATCGATCAGTAAAAATTATTCAGATGTTCTTAGAAAGGTCATGTCAAAATTATCAGTAACAAAGGGGCGTTGCTTGCTTGCTTGCTTCTGTTTTTTTTTTTCACAGCTGAATTTGTGAATTTATTATTTAAAAAAAGCGTTGAAAACACGAATTTTTTCACAATCTTACAGTCCACAAGTTTTGTATCCATTAGGCGTGTCTAAAAAGAATTATGTAAGTAAATGAAGTGAATAAAGTATGCCTGGAGCGTAGCAGGAAGAAGTTCTTTTGTTCGAATATCGCCTTCAGTGCAACGCCACAAAATCCATCAATGTATACATTGACTTACAAATAAATGGACGACGGGTCTAATACAAAAACCACGAAAAAAATGTCCCAAGTCAACCTATTTAAACGTAGTGACATGTAAAGGAATATGAAAAAGCTAAAACGTTGAATTTAAATTGTAATGTCCTCGCAGTACTGCCTAATTTTGCTTGCTTCGCTGTCAGTCGAACAAACGAAGACTAAAGCGTGAATGACGCTCTGTATACGATTTTAACGCCCTATAAGTTCCGACACTTTTTAGCGCGGACCGGACGTCCATATAATTGTAAGTCAATGAATGCGGAGTTTGATATACCATAGTGTGAGACAAGCGTGGCAGGATATAATGTATGGTAGAGACAATTATAGCCACAACCGTTGCTATTCTCTAACAGTACCACCAATATATATAAATGTCCCACGGTACTACCAGTAGTAACACTAAGAAACGGTTTTATTAATACTTATTTTTAAC